TCTGCTTTGGATTATTCCTTAGGGGACGTTTGGGTGGGAAAGGAACTGAGGGTGCTTTGCCTGCATGCCCGTATATAGTCTCTGTATCTGGCATGAGGTGGTATTAGGCGCTTTTGTGGGCCTAGTAGACACTAAGTGAAAATCTCCAATCAAAGGCTCAAGAGGCACATGAGCACCTGAAGTGGCACACCCATAGGGACACAACCTCTTGAAGAACTGCAGTTACTGCACAAAGTGAGTAACCTCTTTTTTATTGTCTGAAACAAACAGCCATTGTACTAGGGAGTTGGATTTATAAGAGAAAAATCAAGAGGGGAGGCCATTAGAAAGAGAGAGGCTGAAAGTGTGAAAATGACTTTCTGGGAGCACATCCTGGAACAAGTGAACAGCTGTAAAGATCCTGAAATATTCCTTGCTCGGGGAACTTATTCCTTATCATAGGCAGGCTGGGAAAACAGTTGGCCAATGAAGCTGTCTTAGGCACCAGGAGTAATGATTTCCTATCCCCCGTCATGGGCCTGCTTGGATTTCCACACAATCAGTGAAAAACCACTAGTGCAAGAGGAAACCATACATTTTCACTAAGATAGTGCCTCACCTCCCCAATGAGTCCTGATAAAGTAAGTGAGATTTTGTAGAGTAAGGTGCTATTCAGTAAGAATATCACAAGCTGGATCAAAGATTTCAAACTCTCCTGGGAAGTAACAGATGGCCCTCAATCCTGATAGATTAGATTATATATATATTTAAAAAAAAACTGTTTAAAAGAACATTAAAGTTGCAAAGTCAAGAACTCAGAAGTTTGGAAATGCCAGAATTAAGGATGCTTTTGCAACCTTAATTTGGACCCCTTATGTGTATGTATTATAATACTGTCTTTAACTACAAGATCTCATAATTTTTTCACCGGACCTCTGCCTCATTCAGTGCATGGGATGGACGGTTCTCACTGAATGGATAGTTAGTCAATATTACTTTTTATCCTTATGGCTTCATGCATTATTTACTGCACACTATCCAAATCTTGCATTGAATGTCAAATTTTTAATTTCTCATGGACTTTTTTCTCATCACACTCATCACTTTAGTATTTGGAGTGCTTCATGAACATTGGTCATTTTTTCTTCACACACCTGTGAGGTCATGTGATTTTAAAGCTGGGGAACTGAGACACAGAGAATAAGGACAGAATTGACCGTTGTCCACTAATTTTGAGTGCTCAGTTTGAGACTCTAGGACTTGATTTTTTTCAGAGTATTTGGCATCAGATAGCATTTTATATGCTTGAAGCAGAGTGCCCATTGACCTCAGTTGCAGTTCAGTGCTTAACACTTCTGCAAATCAAGCCTCTCTCCCAACCTCTTTCCCTCTTCTTCCTCAGGATATTTCCTTCTCCTCCATACTGCCTGGATTCCAGCAAGTGGAATGTTTGAGATCAAAGAAGACACGGCCGCCGTACTCTGTTCTAGTGTCCAGGGAACCCTGGCAGTTGGGAGGAACAATTACAGGAAAGGCCTTGCTCAGTATGGCTGACACAGAGCTCTATGGGGGAGGAGCATGCTTAGTGGAGGTGAAATATTTAAAAAGTTTTGTAAATACCCCTTAACCTCTACTGAGCACCTACAAAAGGTGATGTTCAGAGGCTTATAACTTGGCCAAATTTTTGGGTGGATTTTCATGATGACAGGCAAAGATCTCTCTGTTCCCAGGGTGATCTCCCCTCCCTCCACCCCCCCCCCCCCCCCCCCCCCCCCCCGGTCAAATATGAAGTCCCAGCTCCAATGTGTGAGTGCTCTAGATCAAGGTCTCACAAGAAATTTTTGGTGGTCTTGGAGTGCGGCCACCAATTCTTGCTGGTGACCACTCTGACAATTTTTCCTAAAATACTTAATTAACTTCAAGAAAAATAAATAAATATGCACACATACATGTCCAAATTAATTTATTTATGTAGGTTTTTATTGCAGGCTCAATAATAAAAATAATGTTCAGTTGTGATCATCTACTCTAACCTCCTGTATAACACAGGCAATAAAACTTCCGCAGAATAATTTATTTTGAGCTAAAGGAGGTCTTTAAAAAAAATCCAATCTTGATTTAAAAATTTCCAGTGATGTAGAATTTACCACAACTCTTGGTAAATTGGTTAATTATACTCACTGTTAAAATTTGGCAAAGTTATAAGCAACTGAAAACTGGTTCTTTTAATGGAAAGTGTTAGGCAAACTTAACTATAGGTAGTGTGGCCATCTCTGCCTATAACAGTGTTACTGTAGAGTACAAACCCATGCAAGAAATTTTTTTTAATGAATTGTATTTAAATATGAATGCAAAGTACAATGGAAGTTAGAAAATCAACATATGTTCATTTTTGCTAGTATTAATCAAGTAGTTTTATTAAGTGACAAAGGCTGAAAAGGTTGACCAGATTTTTGTTAGAAAAAGTGAAGATAACTTGTAAACTTGAGGTTTGTGGGGTTTTTTTTTTTAAGAAATAGAAGCACAATTTGATATCACTGTAGAAATTAGCCCAGTGATTTAAAGAGAGATAACCTGTTACTATAGAATCCATTTAAAAAAAAAGCCTGCTCTTTGGAGCTATTCCCATATGCTTTTTGAAACAAAACTGTAAAATGCAAATAGCATGCATCTTTAGCTAAGTCTGCTAATATTTAATTTCTAAATTAAAGAGCACTGAAACAAAGACTTTGATTTCTTACAGTGATACCATCATTTATTTTCGCATCTTAACTTTAAGCATTCCTATTTTAATTAGCATATAATCAGCACTTCTTACAACCAAAGAAAGGGCAACTGTACTAAAAATAAAAGCTGAACATTTAGTCATCTTTTCATGTTTGCGTCTTTTATCTTAGACCTTGAATTACTCTCTCTCTCTCTCTTCAGGGCTTTATTTAAGTTTAATAACTTTTAAAATTGGGGTAAACGGAAGTGGATAATTTGTAAATTCAGTCCTGCTCAAGTAACATCAGAGCAACATTCTAATGAGCACCTCAAATTTAAAAGGTCTTATTTTAATAGTTCCAAATCAGAGTTTTTATTTAGATATAAAGAAATAGCGCCTAAAATATTAGACTGGGTCATTTCTTGATCACTAGAAAGTGAGCTCACTATAGGTTTTATGCTAATTGTTTACTTGCCTGACTCATTAGAAACATCTTTCATTTTTGTTGTTTCAAATTGTTTTGATTGTCAGCTCTTAAGTGAAACGCCTTTTTTGGTGCATTTGTCTGAGGAATTATCTGTAAGTATAGTAACCTTTGTCATTTTCTTTCTCTGATTTCTCTTTTCTCCTCACCGTACTAGTCACAACTTAAACTATATTAGCTTAGAAATGCAGTACCTTGCCCAAAAAGTTACAATGATCTTTAAACCAAGGTAATAGGTTCGAGAGAGAACAAAACAGAGATTAACTAACATTAAAAAAGTCTCAGCTTCTGAAAGTCATTTATCACATTCTAAATTTATTGTTGTTGTCTGCAAAGTTTAGTTTATAGGAAGCTTTTGCTGCCTAGTGCCTTTATTTTATGGATAAATAGAGGATTCAAGTTTCCAGTCCTATTAATCAGGCATTTCATGACCAATGAAATGATTAAAAATTTAAAGTGTTAGTATATACCAATAGCAACTGCTATAGCTAAAGTTGAGAAGGGTATTCCATTATAAACCTACATTCTTCTTTGAGTATTGCCTGCATGTATTTCCATGTGGGTGTCTGCTCTTTGAAATTTTTCAGATAACATTGCCAGTTGAGGCTGGACACAAACTCTGCCTACCTCTGTGCCCACCACTATCCCCACTGGTCCTCTTCGAGGAGAATGTAGCATTTTCCCTTTTTTATTTCTATTGTAAAGGATTTTCCTTTCTTCTTAAAGTTCAAGAATTAGTGTGAGGCTTCTGCTGTATTTTTGGTCTTCATTAGACATTTTGATTTCTTTGTTTTCTTGACTTAATTGAGCCTTCCTAACACCACTGTAGGTGTCAGTTGATTTGACCTCAGCCATCAATCAACAATCTTTGATGATGCCTGTGATGGTGCCTTGTCTGTAATGGATGAGCATACTCAGTGCCTCTTCCCCCTTAGGGAGGGGCATAATCCAACTGGAGTTTGGCTAAGTTTACAATATTGTGAGAACTTCCTGTAATTAATGTGAGGTAACTGTGTGTGTGTGTGTGTGTGTGTAATGTAACACAGTAAGTGTAATGTCTAAAGAGCCATTTTTTCCATCAGTTCTTTAAATGACATGTCAGAAATGACTCTTGGAAAATAAGGTGCAGGTGCAGAAATGTAGATACAATAGCATCCATGTTTGTGTGTGCCGTCACCAGTTACACATGCAAATTTGGAATTTGCACTTGCGAGTTGCCAGTTGTCTACCTGAATACATAATTATCTAATTTTGCTTGAATGCTAGCAGTCATTGCTCACGTCAATTAAAATGGAGTTGCATGAGCAGTTGTGCACTTTCAACTTTTTGAAAAGTCAGTGAGTTGGGCTACATCTGTAATGGTGTCAAGTATCAGAAGGGTAGCTGTGTTAGTCTGGATCTGTAAAAAGCAACAGAGAGTCCTGTGGCACCTTTAAGACTAACAGATGTATTGGAGTATAAGCTTTTGTGGGTGAATGCCCACTTCGTCGGATGCATGGGGATGCATCCGACGAAGTGGGCATTCACCCACGAAAGCTTATACTCCAATACATCTGTTAGTCTTAAAGGTGCCACAGGACTCTCTGATCTGTAATGGTGTTAGACTTGGCTAGTAGCTGCTACCTATATATGCTCTGGTAGTCAACAACAGTGTTAACACAATTGTTTAGGTTTTGTGTTTTTATTCAAAAGTTAAATTAGATTCTATATGATAACTGCTTAAACAATTTTACTTTTTAATGCTTAGTGCTGTTTGTAAAATATTACAGTATGCCTTTATAAGTTGATATTTGGAATGTATACCTTATAGATAATATTTTGTCTCTACAGGAGATCTGTATTGCAAAGCATAATGAAAAGTTCCAGCAGCGCCATCAGAGTGAAGAGAAATACAGAATGCATCATACTGTGCAGCTAGTGAGTTTATGCTCTGTTATTGAAATTAGCCTTTGATTCATTTTTTATATCCCTCGCCATGCATTAATTAGAGCAGTGTTTTCAGATGGATTACTATTTTGAACAGTTGGCATATAACCTGGAAACTTTGGACGAAGATGAGTAAGTAGAAGTTCATGATAAGATATCTTCTATTTTTGAAAGTAAAACTGATGCTGTTAAACTAATGACTCCCGCACAATATTGGGGGTTATTTATTCTCTTTTACTATAGATCAGGGGTCTCAAACTCAAATGAACATGAGGGCCACATGTGGATTAGTACATTAGTCCAAGGGCCCGCATTACTGACACCTCCCCCCCCCCCTCGGCCCCGCTCCCACTCCACCCCTTCCATGAGGCCCTGCCCCTGCCCCGCCTCTTCCCACCCCTTCCCCAAAATCCCCACCCCAACTCCACCCCCTCCCTGCCCCCAGGGGGTACAGGAGGGGTGTGGGGTGTAGTGGGGGCTCAGGGCAGGGAGTTGGGGTGTGAGGTGCAGGAGGGGTGAGGGGTGCAGCAGGGGTCAGGGTGCGGCAGGGGGCTCAGGGCAGGGGATTGGGGTGCAGGAGGGGTGCGGGGTGCAGCAGGGGGTTCAGGGCAGGGGGTCGGGGTGTAGGGTGCGGCAGGGGGCTCAGGCCAGGGGGTTGGGTGCAGGAGGGGTGTGGGGTGCGGTGGGGGTCAGGGTGCAGGGTACAGCAGGGGGTTGGGGTGCAGGAGGGGTGCGGCAGGGGGCTCAGGACTGGGGGTTGGGGTGCAAGAGGGGTGCGGCAAAGGGTTCAGGGCAGGGGGTCTGGGTGCAGGATGCGGCAGGGGGTCGGCTGCAGGAGGGGTTCGGGGTGGGCTCTGGCCCGGCGCACACTGGGGGCAGGGCAGGCTCAAGGGTCTGTGTGTTGCTGTTGCTTCAGGCACCGCCTCCAGCAACGGCAGACAATCGTTTTATGCCTTTTTTCCGGGGTCCTGTCCACCGGACCTGCTCTCCCAGCCGGCATTACTGCGCAGTCGCACCTACCCCAGCCTACCCCTTGCTCCCATGGCTCATGAAGCCTGGACAGTAGTAAGGAGCAGTTCAACTTGTGGAATGACAAATCCAGAACGAAGGATTGCACTCTATGGTCCACATTAATATTATTTCATAGACCTAGATAGCATTAGTCCCTATAAAAGACATCATGAAAATTTCCCCCCACCCCTAACAAAAATGTTAATTTATCAGAGCAGCTGAAAGGGTAAGGAACTCGGGACTGTAACTGAGAGAGCGCTTCCATATTATTTAACTCAGAATTGATATAATTCAAAGTAAAATTTAACAGCGTGGTCTGTTCTAAGACTAAAAATGCAGGCGAGTAGTCAGAAAAAGGAACAGTGACCTGTTTCCGCCCGGTTTCGAACTGGTGACATTTCATGTGTTAGGTGAACATGATAACCACTACACTACGGGGCTTCTCTTCTTTTGCCACAGACTTTGCTGAATGCACAGGAATGTTTTCTCTAGCTACAGAAGCTACCTAATGCAATGTCTATATCTATGGCCTTCCTGCCCACAAAGTGGTCATGCCCCCGCCCAAGGCTGACACAGTGACCTGGCTCGGGCAGGATCGATAGCAAGGCATAATACTTTTGCCGTTAAGCAAGCACAGCAATTCTTTCCTGGCTCTGCCACTGAATGCCTCCATGCGTTACGCTCTGCCCTATCAGTGCGGGAGGACTGCTTGAGCTCGGAAAACATGTCATCACGAGTGTGGTTTTTTTGCCTTCTAATCTGCGATAACCTCAGGGATGAAGATGATAGGGGGAACGTAGACACATTCTGGGGGGACTGCATGGTCACCAGTGCTGCTGAGTTTGCCACGCTGGCCAAACAGGAAATGAAATTCTAAAGTTCCCGGGGCTTTTCATGTGTAACTGGCTAGTGCATCTGAGTTCAAAGTGCTGTCCAGAGCAGTCACAATGGAGCACTCTGGGATAGCTCCTGGAGGCCAATACCGTCGAATTGCGTCCACACTACCCCAAATTCGACCCGGCGATGTCGATTTCAGCGCTAATCCCTTCGTCAGGGGAGGAGTACAGAAATTGATTTTAAGAGCCCTTTAAGTCGAAAAAAACGGCTTAGTCGTGTGGATGGGTGCAGGGTTAAATTGATGTAACGTTGTTAAATTCAACCTAAACTTGTAGCGTAGACCAGGGCTGTGTCTGTGTAGAGAGCTTTTAAAAGAAATTACACCCTTGAGAGTAACCGCCTGTGGGGAGCATTTTTCTCTTAAATTAAGACAAAATTATATTGTTTCCCAAAATTACAGTAAGTTCACTCTTAGTATCTTATTAGATACTAAAACTGTTTATGTATGAGCAAAACAATTTGTTTAAGGGCAGGTGGGACTTGTCCAGTTATTAATAAAAACCAGTCAGTTTTATAGATGGCCATAGTAAACAATCTAAGTTAAATCCTCGGAAATCAACAAAAATATGTAAATTAGCTATTTAGAAGAAGCCATGTAAGGAGCTGTCTTGAAACAGACCAGGTACAAATATCAACAATCTTAAATCCACTATTCTTCTGTTTACCAATGTTTAGCCCCTGTCTCCTCTCTGAGAATACATGGTTTAACCATCTTGTAATTAACAGGAAAAACTGTTAATATTTTAAGTTACAGCAGCATTTTTACATCCCAATAAAATCATTAAAAGAGTTTTAAATCTAATCACTTGGCAATGTTTTAGTTAATGTTCTCTCACCAAACCATGCTGAAATCTTGGTGAGGTTTTCATGGGGTTGTTTCTTCTTGAGTCTTCTCTTTCGTAGCTGTCTGTGGTAGCTTGCTTGTAGAGATGGACAGGATGAATTATATTGAGTACCATGTTTGAGCAGGGTAGCAGAGGGTGTGTTTTATACCCTTCTTCCTATTTTCATAAAATTATAGGAAAAGGTATCTCTTTCAGATTTATTTAGATTCAAAGTTGGTTGCTGTCACCCCTTCACTGTTAGATTACTTCCATGGGTTGTCCTTAGAAGGCCTCTTCATCTTATGACTATGTAGTTTATTAATGTATAAAGGTATTGGAGTTCAGCAGGAAATGAAATTGTTTCCAGAAACTCTTCCTGTTTTTATAGAAAAGTTTTTTTGTTTTGTTTTGTTTTTGTTTTTTGGGGGGTTTTTTTGTTCTCAAAACAAAGTCTTTGGCTTAAAACAGTTATTAATGAAGTTGTTGATTCTATGTGACAATTTTTAGAAAGATGATGATTCTTGTCGTCTTGAGTTGGGTGTGAGAATTCCTTGAGTACTGCCATTAATTAATTATTTTCCCCCCTGAATATAAATAGCCTATACTTTAATAGCTTCTTACATTAGTGATTAGTTAGCAAGGTCCATCTTGGTACATAAAGCATTTTACCATTTATGTAGCAATGATATTAGGAGCTTAGCATTTGGTTAACGTATTTGCAAGTATACATCTCACAAACATTTAAGAAATAAAAAAAGGCTTAAAATATTTGCAACTACAAATGTTTTTCCTGGTGTTTTAAAGAGTAGCCGAGGTTTTTCATAGTATAAACTCTTAGGGGTAATAAACATGGGTTCATGGTTAAGGAGTTGTTATCTTCCTGGCATTTGCTTGTCGTTGGGAGACAAACAGAAACCTCGTGGAATTTCTTTGATTAGACTGAACATTTTGTGACATATTAAGTTTAGCTAGTTATGTATTATAATTTTCATGTATTGTGGCTATAACCTACTTGTAGCCATGTCTTATTAGTCAGTAAAGATGCAGACAAGTTTGTAATGACCTATCATCAAAAAATTATAATTTAATATCATTTTCCATCAATATTGAGGTCTCTCTGGTAGAGTATCTTAAGTAAATTGCAAGAAACAGGTATTTTTCTTCCAGTTAGGCAAGACTGGCAAATTATGGTGGTCTAGGAATATGAAGTAGTATCACTGCTATTAACTGCTGAAAGGTTGTTTTGCAAAAAGCAGTGAAATAATGTAACTTGGAAAAGCATAGGAAGGATTTCTTTTATATTTAAACAGCCAGTGAATCTTGTCTTGTAGTCTAGTTACATTAGGGCAGTGGTTCCCAAACTTTAACAACCTGTGAACCCCTTTCACTAAAATGTCAAGTCTCGCGAACCCCCTCTTAAAAATGAATATTTCCAGGGATTTTCTCCTTTACCTGAGTATAAATTATAAAAGCAGTGATCTTGGAAATATAAAATTTGTTTTTATGACATGCTTATTACACACTATTTATTATAAATTACTATTTATCATTACAGTATTTTTATTAGATTATGAAAAGGGCAACATTCTTCCAAGATCTCACTTTCATAGCTTATCACTTTGAATAAGCCTGTTATAAGACAAGGCTCCTATGTTTCATCAAGGAGTATCAGATATGAAACAGCATGAAGGTATTTAAGAAGCCAACTCAAAGAGTTCTTCCTACACAAGCATTCAGGTCTTGAGCAGTCCAGGCAAACAACGCACGTTACAACAAAGCTTAAACTTGTTCTTCATAATAATTTTAAAAACAAGATTAGCTGCCTATTTAATTTTAAAAACAGCAAAAAATATCCATCTCCCTTTCCATTTCTTATAAGGAGTCTTGAAGTTTAAATCTCCTCAGTGTGATAGATATGTTTGCTTTGATCTGCTTAGCTCTTGGAAGTCCAGGGGCTCCGTGCTGCTGGTCTCGTGCTGCCTGGGGTCCCTAAGGACAGCTCTGTCTGCCATTAGGGAATTTTTTCCCGAGAACCCTCTGTAACATTTCGTGAACCCTCAGGGGTTCACGAACCCCAGTTTGGGAACCACTGCATTAGGGTTTGCAGCTGTATTTAAGTTGGGCACCAACTGCAGTTAGTCAAAGGCTGTTTATAACACTGTATCCATCCATCCCTGATACTTGTCACTCAGAAACCCATCTAGAATTGGCAGTGAGTGGTGCTATCTGAACAATAGCTTTCCACCATGTTAATTCCAG